TTTGGATTGTTGGGTGTTTCTGTTTCTGCCTTTGTGAAGCGCTATGAGATGACTTGTTGTTGTAAATATGCGCTATACAAATAAAATTGAATTGAATTGAATTGAATTTGCATACAGGAGGTCCAGTGTTCTGTTGTCTCTAGTGGGGCAGTTAGCAAACTGGTAATGAGCTGGTCCAGTTCTATGCAGTGTGACGTGGTTAAAGTCCCCAGTGATCGTTATGAAAGCATGAGGACGTTGGGTTTGTAGTCTGGAGACGGTGGAGTGGATGGTGTGGCACGCTGCCTCTGCATCAGCTGATGGGGGAACGTAAACAGCGACTACAATGGCGGACGTGAGCTCCCTTGGCATGTAGTATGGACGCATTCCCACGACTAACAGTTCAATGTCTGGGCTACAGAAACGTTCCTTCTCGGCAACGTGTCCAGGGTTACACCATCTCTCATTGATAAACAGTGCAATCCCCCTCCTTTCTTCTTACCGCTCTTCTCCACGTCTCTGTCCGCCCGTACTGTCTGGAAGCCGGGTTCAGCAGCGCTGGACTAACTCTAACCCGCACTGTCTGGAAGCCGGGTCCAGCAGCGCTGGACTAACTCTAACGCTAATAAGTGATAAGTGGCCGAAACACTCGATGAACCTGGGGTCCACTACTGATGATGTGTCCTAAAATTATAGAATTATTAATTCAATTTTAAAAAATTATTATTAAAAAAACTATTATTAAAAATGTTAATAAGGAGTGAACCCGAAAGAGGAACACGGACTGCTGGTTTCGATAGATAAGCAACACACGAAGAGGAAAAATCAACTGTGATCATTGTAGGGGTAAAATGGATGTATAAAAGATACAAGCTGGGAGGGTAAGTTCGTCTGACTCTGTCTGATGCCAGGGAGCGTCTGACCCAGAGCTCTGTAATGCAATATTCAGCGTGTGATTAAATTGATTAATTGAGACTGAGCTGAATCTTGTCTCATCTTTAAAAATGAACACGCGGAGAAAAGACAGTTTCTCTGACAAAAACGAGAATAAAACTAGCAAAACTAAAAGTGGCCGTTACTGCACTAACTGACGAAAAACAAGTACAAAAAAGAATAAAAGACGAGAGCTGCTGTACCGTGCTGCCACTCAGCGCAGCACTGGAAGTAGTTGTTGTGTGTCTGTGTTGTGTGTCTGTGTTGTGTGTCTGTTGTGTGTCTGTTGTGTGTCTGTGTTGTGTGTCTGTGTTGTGTGTCTGTGTTGTGTGTTTCTTGGGTGTCTTTTGTGTGTCTGTCTGTTGTGTTTCTGTTGTGTGTCTGTGTTGTGTGTCTGTTGTGTGTCTGTTGTGTACCAACCCAGCACTGTCACTGTGATGTTCTTCTCCACCTTCCTGTCTTCCTTCGTCTCCTGAACCGTGCACACATACACACCTGAAGAGACACACCTCCATGAGATCGCCATGGAAATGCCAGTAGTTTTGTTAACATTCCCTCATTGTGGTCTGTCAGGCAGCAGGATACCTACCTGAATCTGCCACTGTTGCTGCGGTGATGTTCACAAAGGAGCGAATCCGATTCGGCAGAAAATCTGTCAGAGGCTCAATTTCCTGCAGAAACAATACCTGTTAATCACAGACAGATAGGCAGGCAGGCAGGTAGGCAGGTAGGCAGGTAGACAGGTAGACAGGTAGGCAGGTAGACAGGTAGGCAGGTAGACAGGTAGGCAGGTAGACAGGTAGGCAGGTAGACAGGTAGACAGGTAGACAGGTAGACAGATAGGCAGGCAGACAGGTAGGCAAGTAGGCAGGTAGGCAGGTAGGCAAGTAGGCAGGCAGGCAGGTAGACAGGCAGACAGGTAGGCAGGTAGGCAGGTAGGCAGGTAGACAGGTAGACAGGTAGGCAGGTAGACAGGTAGGCAGGTAGGCAGGTAGACAGGTAGGCAGGCAGGCAGGTAGACAGGTAGGCAGGTAGACAGATAGACAGGTAGGCAGACAGACAGGCAGGCAGGCAGGCAGGTAGGCAGACAGACAGGCAGGCAGGCAGGCAGGTAGGCAGGTAGACAGGTAGACAGGCAGACAGGTAGGCAGGTAGGCACACAGACAGGTAGACAGGTAGGCAGGTAGACAGGTAGACAGGTAGACAGGTAGGCAGATAGGCAGGCAGACAGGTAGGCAAGTAGGCAGGTAGGCAGGTAGGCAGGTAGACAGGTAGGCAGGCAGGCAGGTAGACAGGTAGACAGGTAGACAGGTAGGCAGACAGACAGGTAGGCAGGTAGACAGGTAGGCAGGTAGGCAGGCAGGTAGACAGACAGACAGGTAGGCAGGTAGACAGGTAGGCAGGTAGACAGGTAGGCAGACAGACAGGTAGGCAGACAGGTAGACAGGTAGGCAGNAGACAGGTAGGCAGACAGGTAGACAGGTAGGCAGGTAGACAGGTAGGCAGAAAGGTAGGCAGGTAGACAGGTAGGCAGGTAGGCAGGTAGGCAAGTAGACAGGTAGGCAGATGGGTACCTGTCTGCGGGGGAAGTCCCAGGAGAAGAAAACCATGTGGGTGTCTTTGACGGTGCAGTTCACAGTGAGAACCTCCCCCTGCTTCAACACACTGCTGGAGACGGACAGGTCCACCTCCATCACCTCAGGGACTGAGAGGCAGACAGGTCAACAGACAGACAGACAGACAGACAGACAGACAGGTGAACTGAGTGTATACAGGTGAACTCACCTATGACACTGAAAACATAGTACACCTGGGACTGTCTCTCCTCGGCTCCGCGGGCAGCCGAGCACATGTATGATGTGTCGTTGAGGCGACCCGTGAAGCCGCGGCCCGGTTCGTATGTCAGCCCGTCCACTGGCATCCTGCCGGGACGCTCCAACAGAGACACGTTGAGACGTGGGTCGGACACCACGCAGGGGATGGTGCCTTCCTCCGCCTCCTTCATCACCACACCTGGACCAACTGGGACGAACCATTCGTCTGGATCTGAGGTGGGCCAGGTGAGACAGACAGGTCAGGAGACAGACAGGTCACGAGACAGACAGTTGGGACAGATGCTGATTGTTACCTTGTCCAGGTATGAAGACATTGATGTCTCTGCTCTGAGTGGACGCCTCCTCCTCACAGGTGTATCTCCCAGAATTCCTCCAGGTGACATTAACAAACTTCAGGAGGCTGCTGGAGCCCTGACTGTCCACAAAAACCCCATTTAGCTGATGGTCCTGAGGTAACCGCCAAGTCACCCGACTCCACCCCGAACACACCTGAGGATACAAGCAGTTACCTGAACACACCTGAAAACACCTGAGGATGCAGGAAGATACCTGTAGAGACAGACATGTGTCACTGACCACAGTGAAGTTGGAGTTTGAGTTGAGCAGAACTTCAGAGGCTGATGGCAGAAGCTCCAGAGCCACACCCCCTTCAGGATAAACCAGGAGCACACCTGCATACAGACAAACAGGTGTTCTTCTCCATTGAAATTCTTTTTAACGATTAAACCTTTATACTCACCCAACAAAAGGTTCAGCAGGTTCAGACTTCTTTTCCATCGTCTGATGGACGCCATCATGGCCGCTGATCCTGACCAATGACAGCACAGGGGGGAGAGAGCTCAGGTATTTACAGGTAACCACCACAACACACAGGTGCATCATGGGACATATTAGATCCACTGAATGTTACATAATGAATGCAAAGTTCAGCTAGAACATTCACTGCAGTACTGCAGTACAG